AGAGGCCCCCAGGCGAAGAGGAGGGCTGTGGGTGTGTGGGAGCCCAGCAGGGAAAGTCAGGCTAACAGGAGCTCTCAGTTCCCAGCTCTGAGCTTGCCTGGAATCTGGGAAAGGTGGCAGCAGCCACAGTGGGGGCATGTCCCCACTCAGGCCAAATGGCACTCCAGGGGAAGCCCCCACACCACCCCCTCACTGTGGGGGGTGGAGCAGAGCTGGAAGGGACTGGTCTCCCACACTCACTACCCCACCTTTCAGGGAAAAGGACACAGACAGAGGCCTGGAGAGGGCTAGAGGCCTCCCCCAGCCTGCGGAGCCCTCCTGTGACAGGGACAGCATGAGTCCTGCCAGCCCAGAGCCTGGCACCACCTGCCTCCAGCCCAGGACTCTTCCCTGCCCCTGGGGCAGCCCAGCAGCCTGAGCTGCTACCTCCCAGTTGCTTCCTCAGAGTCCCTGGCTGCTCTGGGATGACCTGGGACTGTGTGGGCTCACCCTGGGCCACGGTGGGGGAGGAGAGACTGAGAGCCACAGCCTGAACAGAGCCTGCCGCAGCCAGTCCACAGCAGGGCCTGGGGACCAGAGGGCTGCCATGGGTGTTATCAGGAAGGAAGGCAGAGGTGACTGAAGCAGGGGGACCTCTGAGCAGGGGAGGGCACACCCCTCAACCTCTGCGGACAGACCCTGCTATGTGAAAGCTGGCCCCTGTGAGCTGTGCTGTGGAGAGGCTGTGGGAGGGAGTAGCGGGGGTGGGGGGGTGTTTGGCACTCTGGCTGCCACAGAAGGCCAGCCTCACCAGGAAACAGGAATCCTTGAAGCAGAAAGACTCCCCCAGGGCTGCCTCAGAGCACCCCCCCAAGGCCACGCCCCTGGAGACTGTTGTCAGGGCGACAGCTGCTAGGGGCTGGCTGCTCTCCCCCTTGCCTGCCTGGCTGCCCTGCCTTGTGATTCCTCTAGTTCTGCCACCTGGAAAGCCTGTGCTGCCTGCCCTCCCTGGCTGAGCGGGCATGTGCCTGGAGCCACGGCCCAGGATGTTTCACAAGGTGGTTAGAAGCATATACCCTCATGTTGCATTCCATTTTTAAATCCCACATTAACTACTTATTATCTGTTTTTCCTTGAGGACAACCTGTAACCTCCCATTGCCTTAGTTATCTCACTTTTAAATTGGAGTTTCTTAGGCATACACCCTCACTGGCAATAGTGAGCCAAGTAGCATGCCCTCGCGGGACCCTAAATCACCAGTATCACATCCAATCCATTCGAAGGACAAACTCACAGTCCTCACCTGTACCACTTACGAAGTGTCAGACCACATTCCTTTATAACAAGTGGCTGTTGCCATGGCAGAACCACTGTGCCTTCCTCCCTCTTGAGAGCACTTTTTCTTAAGTGAGCTCCATGTCAGCAACTGTTAGGAAGGCAGAAAGGCAGAGCTGAGTAGGAAGTTCCTGCATTCATTCCTCCACTCGGGGTTCAAATTCCTCACCCCTCCCTTGTCTGCCCCCATGTTTACCAAGGTCTCACCAAGCACTTATTTATGCTGAGAAGCAACTGTGTCTTCTGCCAGCAGCACTAGAAAATAGCTCCACTCTGAGAGTCACACAGAGAGAGGAAAAGAGGGGAACTGGCTTGCAGGCACACTCCCGGCTGCCACACCCAACAGGGAAGAGGAATATTTTCACTTGAAGTAGAGCTCTCTGATACCACCTCCCCTGCTTCCTGAGCTTGCTGAATTTATCATCTTATTTAGTACAAATAGCTTGATTTCAGTGACTACTTTATAGCTAATGAACTAAACAACTGGCTCTGGATTCCAAGATGAGGGTGAGAATCTAAGAAGACAACTAAAGTTTATCCTAGAAAAACAGTACTTCTGTTCTTGAATGCAAGTAAAATGACTTACAGACTTGCATTAGCAGAGATGTATGAAACAGATTTGAAGTGGATTCAAATGTGTTATGGCAGCCACAAAAGTCTATTTTCTTAGGATGCCTCTGTTCTAGAATGAGAGGTTTGAAAAGATCATTCCATGCCACAATACACAGAATATTCAATATTTTCAGGGATAACTGCAAATACAGAGCTATGTAAAGTGATGACTAACCAGGGGGGAAAAATAACATTAGAAAGAGCTGAGGGTCCTCCCTGGTGGTGAAGCAGGTTGGGGCGCTGCACTGTGCCAAGTCATGGCCCCTACAGTGTGAGTTCGATCCCTACACCAAAGGTGACTCACATGGCACAGCAGACCTCTCCTGTCTCGCCCACTGCTGCCCTCAGCAGTGTACTTCGTTGATCTGCCTGTTCTGCTCCCCACTCTGTCTCTGGTGAATCCTCTCACCACCCCTACACCTCTGGCCTATACCCCATTTCTGTATGCATAAATAAAATCTTTAAAAACAAAAAAAAGAAAGAGCTGAAATAACTGGAGAAGTTAAACCTAGAAATATAATGTTGGTAAGAGCCTCTTCATTTAAGGATTAAATGAGATAGCTTATTAACAGTGCTTAGTGCCTGATATAAGTATTTAATTAATGTTAATAGTATTATTAACACCATGCCTACTACTATTATAGTTAAGGCTTCTAGAGTGTATTCTCTATACTAGGCACTATTCCAGACCCTTTCTATATGCTTGTTCATTTACTATTCCTCTTTCCACTCCTAAGAGGTAGGTATCATTATGTCTCTAATTTTGCTGATGAGAAAACTGAGTCACAGAAGATGGAGTAGTTTGCTCATTGTGTCTCAAAGATGGGAAGAAGAAACAGAATCTTAACTCGTATAGTTTCAGGCTATCAAGGGTAAAAGGCATTTTTCCTATTTTATATTTGTTTTGTGCTGTTGAGAGGGCAAAACCAGGAGGACCACTGTGTATAAACTACTGGGAGGCAGACTTTAGTTCAACAAAAGAAAAAAGTACTTTGAATGATTAGAACTGTCTGAAATTTCAATAGGGTTCTTTTAAGGTAGTGATCATCACAGAATGTAAGGGAGGGAGAAAGGATGGAAATGAAAAAAAATTGAAAGAAAAGAGATGCCACTTGAAAAGAAACTAAAATGATGAAGCCAACCCTTAGTGAAAAGAACAAAGTATCATAAAAATTGGTTAAAAATATACACATCACTGAAAAATTTAGAAAGTAGTTATGGAAAATAGATAAAAGTGAACAAATGCATCTAAGTGCTATCTCAACACACACACAAATTAGATGCTGGAAAAATGTGATAAAAATTCTTTGAAGGGCAATTTCACATATGAATCTGTTTGGAAACTTACTAGACAACCTGGGTTTGAAAAAGCAATCTAAAGATTCTCGTGGCGACTTGATGGCTACCCACCCTGAAAGTGAAAAATACCCAGAGAGAAGTATAGTCTGCTTTCTAGAAGAAAATGGATCCCCAAGGATAAAATAGCATCCAGGCTGATGCAATTAAGTGAGATGCAGGCATGAGGTTGAAGATCTTAAAACACCATTGATCCAAAAGTATCTGCTCGCAATGACACTTGAGTACGTTAGCATGATGTTCATCCTGCTATATGGTGTGCACAGTGCGTGATCAACAAAATTACTGCATAGCTCAATACCGAATGTCCCCTGCTCTGCATCTATCTTTTTGGGGTCCAGCAGTCCCAGGACCCAAATAATTTAAAGATTAAATTAATTTAATGACTAATTAAATAATTTAATGATTTAATTAATATAAACGTTTTCAACAAGCAACAGCAAGAAGTGGCCAGTTAAGGATTTAGAGTCCCGGCAAAATCTTTATTATGAATAATAACTACTGATTAGTGGGTGTGTGTACACACACGGACATCAACATGTTATATATAATGCCACTGCCCATGCTCCCATATCAGACAGGCTTTCAAACTATTGTACTTAGATGGACAAATGTGTTTTCATTTATGAAAATCAAAGTGTTCCATTTGTTTCTACTCCCGGAAATTACAAATGTAATTATGCATGGCGTTTTAAAACTGAATAACTATTCATTTAGACTGGAGCTGCTTTTTGTGATAAAGGTCTGGGGCTCAAAAAATACTGAAATCATGGAAGTCGACAAGAGATGAAAACCGCGTTGACAGAGCCTAAACGGACCCATGGGGTTACGGGTGTGGCTTACAGCTGGGAGGGGTGGCATGTGGTACAAATTCTTTAAGGTGAAACAGTTCAGTTTCAGCGCAGGATCTGGACGTAGGGGAATACCCAGCCTCGGAGGCTAAGGAAGGGAGGATGAAGCAGAGTGGCGGTGTGGGGAAAGCCGCAGAGATGAAGAAGTAACCCCCAAGTCGCCGGTAACCAGGAAAGGGCAAATATAAACAAAGATGCGTGAGTGGTGGTGCCCGGCGTGTTGTGGGTCAGGAAATACCCGCAGGTTGCAGCAGCACGGCCGCCGGTCAAAGTGGTAACTGGGGATCTGAGCTCGGCGGTGACGCGCGGCCCTCACGTGACCAGGAGCCTATGTCTGCCCAAGTCCTTCTCGTCCTGGTCCTTTTTGCCTGTCCAGACACCGTCTCCCTATTGCCCTTCGGTCGAGGGGGAAACAGAAGGAAGTAAGTTCCCTCGGTCCTCTTAAATCGGTGTGCGTGCTGTTGCTGCCCTACACTCGGGGTCCGGAGAGTCCAGGCCTTTCCCTAAGCCCGGCCCCGCCCCTCGCGCCCACATTTCGGTGCAGAAAATGGTGGTCTTGGGGAGTGGGGAGGAAGGGGGGGTCCCCCTGGGAGGGAGACTGAGGCGCTGAGACCCGTCTCCAAGTCATCCTTCGCGTCCATCCCCCGCCTGAAAAATGACGAACACTGAGGGGAAGGGGGGGGGGCTGCCACGGGGCCGCAGCGCGCAGCTGGACATGGGGCATGGGGTGAGGGGCTAACCAGAAGGGGCTTGGCGTGCGGGTGGCGGCTGGTGCCCACGAAAGGGGCGTGGGTGGCAGTCTTCCCTTCCCTCCTCCCCACTCTCCGCCCCCTACCCTGTCTCGCGTCTGTGCAGGTCTGCGGGGCACAGCGGTGCACCTCAAGGACAGGACGGCCGAGAACAAGCTGCCGGGCGCGGTCCAGGTCGGGGAAAGGGTGGGCAGTGGACCGGGATGGGGTGCCCGGGAGGACGCTGACGGGAGCGGAGTCCGTGGCCCCACCGCCCCGCCCCGCCCCTGCCCCTGCCCCTACGGGAGAGGCCTATGGCAAGGCCTGCTGGGAAAATGGTGGGCTTTCGGGAAGGAGGGGGCGGCTGTCGGGGTGGGGAGCAGGCGTGGGGCCGGGCGCCGCGGGGTCCGCGAGCCCAGATAGCCTCTCGGTTAGTGCAGGGGTCCCCGATCGAAGAGGCGGGCGTTGGAATCCGTGGCCCGGGTTTCGGAGAAGCCACCAAATATCCTGACTCCACTCTGCCTTTCTTGTCTCCTGTGAATAACTGTGCTTAAAGGAGACCAGTCTCAGCATGGAAAAATCCTGCCAAGACAAGGAAGATCAGCCCCAGAGCGTGCCCGAGACGGAGGAGGCGCGGCCTCCGCTGCTGCCCTCTCCCGGGAAGCCGGCTCTGGAGGAGCCGTCTTCGGAGGAGCAGTCCTCGGAGGAGGAGTTCTTTCCCGAGGAACTGCTTCCCGAGCTCCTTCCCGAGATGCTCGTGTCGGAGGAGCGCCCTCCGCAGGAGCGCCTTTCCAGAAAGGACCTTTTCGAGCAGCGCCCTGCCATGGAGCAGCCTCCTTGCGGGGTGGGGAAACACAAGCTGGAAGAAGGAAGCTTTAAGGAAAGGCTGGCTCGCTCTCGCCCGCACTTTAGAGGGGACATCCATGGTAGAAATTTAAGCAACGAGGAGATGATAAAGGTGGCAGAGGAGATGGAAGAAATGAAAAGAGTACGAAATAAACTGATGATAATGCATTGGAAGGCAAGACGTAACCGTCCTTATCCTATTTAACTGTTGGGCCTTTACTTCTTTTTGCCTGGTCTAAGTATTAACATCCGAACTTGGCATTTTCTTAAATACCTTTCCCATCTTCGTATGTTTCAGTTTTGGCGTGACTTTATTTTAGGTGTTTCGCTTGTAGCTGGCCTAAAATTGACACTTCCCTCCTGCCATCTGCAAGCCTTCCTCTTTCAATCATAAGTCTAACTCATTTGCATGGAAAGATGTACATTATATATTGTGAAGTGAGAGGGCAATTTTCAAAAAGTATATGTAGTGTCCCGTTTTTGTAAAAAATATATTTATATATTAATATACAAGGAAAAAACCGAAAGTATATATGTCAGAAGCTTAACAGTGGCTACCTGTATGTATGGTAAGATAATGGGTGATTTTTTATTTTTTCATTTTTGCTTTCTCAGAATTTCTCACTTTTTCAAGGCAAACATGTTTTACTTGTGTTGCAAAAAAAAAAAAGCAAAAAAACCCCAAAAACCAAAAAAAAAAAAAACAACCCACAATATAATGAAAAATGTAACACAATTTAAAAGACTGTTAACCAGCTTATAAGGACAATGTGGCACTTAATAAACACTTGTCATAACTTAAAAAAGATAAAGCAAACCCTATAATTCTTCTGAACCTCTTAGGCAGAACTTAACTAGGTATTAATGCATTTAAGGGTCACTCTTTTTGCATTTAAATAGGAAGAGTACAAGGCTGCTGTGGAACCATGTGAGATAAAAAGATCATGTGAACTCTGTTGCCCCACCTGCACACGCAGGACCCCAGCCCTTAAATTCCCTTCCAGATAGAGGGTAGTACCCAAAGGTACTCACTTGTGCTTACAAACAATTCCTGTGAAATTACAGGTGAGTGGCACATTCTATCCTGTCCTGCTCTTTTCTTCCCTTGGATATTGCCATGTCTGCTGGGCACAGCTGCCCTCCTGGGTCCTGCTCCTTCCACGGCCCCTCCATCACCATCCTCCAGGTGCAAAGCCTCACTTACACTGGAGTCCATGCTGGGTCAAAGCTGAACCTTGCGACCTATGTGTCTACAGAGAATGTCCCTCCTCCAGCTTTAATATCAAACTTATCCAGGTGGACACTATGCCAGCCCTGCTTAAACCTCAGTGTCTTAAAGAATTCTCAGCAAAATAGTCCTTCTGTTTTTTGTTTTTGTTTTTTTTCTCTCTCTCTGAAAGCCTCTCTTCACTAGATTCAAGCGCAGACCTGGGCTAGGAGACAAATTAGTGAGCCAGACAATGCTGTGTATTCAGAATTGGAATCTTCCTCCAAAATAATCTCCAAGGATAACTTAGGTTTTACTTACCTAACTTGCCTTAGGGTGGGTTCTCTTCCACGGGCTTCCAAGGGCAGCCTTGCCTTACCAGTTCAACTGTCTTGCTCAGCTCGTATAAATTGAAGAGGAGAATAAGACTTAGGTCGTTCCCCTTGAACCCCACCCCACATCAACAAGAGACATGCAAAAGTACTTTATAATGTGATATATGTATGTGCATATACATATATATGGGTATCAGATATTATGATTTATCTATTAAAATAACCTCATAAAACTTAAGACTGTTTTATTGATCTTGCTAATCTTAGGAACACAGTGGTTAATATTTTTTAATTATGTGATTAATTTTTTAATATCTGTTTTGATTGACTTTACAAGCTTCAATAAGTGTTCATTTCTCTAGAAAGCATGGTTTGCAATTCCAAAAGTATCAAAGTGGGGAGAGGGATTGTTTCTCCAAATTCAATATTAAAATTATTTAAATATATATCTGTGTTTCTCTTATAAAAAAAAAAAGGCAGATGTGTGCTCTGCTCCAGACCCACTAACTTTATCTGTATAACAGAGAGCCACGCTATAGAAAATAATCTCCTGCTTTTAGTAAGAAGACATAAATAGAAAAAAATGCAGACACTGCATCAGAATTTAAAGGTGAAGACATTTTTAAGAAACTAAAAGTGTCTTCGTAGATAATGCTAAACTCTAGATATCTGGCAGCAGAGCAACACCATATATAGAAATAAAGTGAAGGCAAGATGTATGTAATGTCATTGCTTCCAAAATGAGTAAAATGCATCAGATACAAATTCAAAGCTTTTCTTTGGTAATTAACTCACAAAATGGTAAGTTTACACTGTCGCCTTGACTGCGTTTTCCATTTTCACTGTATGTACCATTTTGGGGGAATCTTCATGTTTCTAGCAATAGCCTGATAGACACTGGTTGAACTAGTTTCCACCTGAAGTGAGATGTGGGGCCAGGGGCCACCCTAAGCCAGTTTGACAAGACAGGATGGACCCATCCCCCTGGCGCCCAGAGGGATGCCACCCAGTCAGGATGTGGAGGGGCTCCCCCAAGCCCCACTCCTCTCCAGGGGGCTCTGGCTTTGGCTTCTG